ATCATCTATTTCAAAATAATTTCTCTGCAATATACCTTTAGTTTGAAAATTGTGTACACATTCGCTTCTATCCTTTTATTTCGCTCTTTTATACTGACAAAGTTGAAGAAAGCTTTAGTCAACTGAGAATACAATGTCCGCGCATAGTGTCCTTTTATAGTCCCAGTAAACAGAAATAGTTCTCTCAAATAGAACAGTAAAAAAACAAAACAAAGGGAAACCACTCTTGATTATTCATAACATCTATATTTGTTACATCAAAAAGTATTTTATGTATTTATAACCTGCCATCATGCTATGCTGTTCCGACAAACAAGGAAAAGTATATTCCTGAAATACTATCCGCGAAGACAAACTTAAAATTCTATACAATTTATCAATCCTCGTTTAAATATTTGTTGTGCTGCCTGATTATTCCAACTAAAACCCGAAGACTTTGTCAGCGTTTGTCAAATACTATTTACTGTCAAAGTGGTTCATACTTATGTCCTGTTAATCGTAAATACTGAGGCTGCTAATTGCGCCGATTTTTTTTCATTTCTGAACACTTCGCAATGCAAATATAACATATCGGCGTCTACTTCTCAAAATTGTCGTTTAGACGCGGGGGTACTGAATTTTATAATTTAGCCCAAATCTTCTTGGTTTTCCTCTCGAAAATAAAATAATAATAAAGACAGCAAAAGAGATTTAAATTAATATTAATCTGTTTGAGTGAATGATATTATATTTAAAGACGTTCTAATTTTGGATTCGGATGCAAAATAAATATTATTGATTTTAAAATTACGTTTTCTTTAAAAGCATTCCGGTTTGAAATTTGATTATATTTTCTTGGTAATTACCATCTTGATAGATTACCTTATCCAACACAACGTAACTTATCAATCCATTTTCTTTCTTTTTTTAAAATGTTTTCATATATTAACGTTGAAATATATTTTTACAATGACTTTCGTACCCGTCAATATCTAAAAGAGAATATTTTAATTTTATAAAGTGAGATGAAAGTAAGTATATTTTATTAAAGTTGATACAGATATATCTTTAACAAAATACCTTATTGATATAAGATCACAGTCCATATCTGTGCTGAAGCAAGTCAATCCTCATTTTCTAACATTGATAATTTTTTTTAAGAAACCTTTTGTGCGTGCTGAATGACAGCTAGCGAGTAGAATTAGATTGTAAACCAGTGGTCGACAAGCGATTTTGTCGAGGCCTAAGCAAGGATCTCTAAAATCACGATGATCCCCCACGTCTGTGACATATTATTCTTATTATTCAAAAAGTGAACTCATATTCACGCGGAGGAAGCCTAAAATGCCATTAGAATACAAGGTTGAGGCTGAACATATGCAATAGTACTATCATTTAATTTTTATATATATATATATATATATATATATATATATATATATATTGTTGGCTCCCTGTGCCTCGCCAGGAAATTTTTCTCGCCGGAGTCGATCTTTCAAATCTACAAATCAACCATTCACCTTTGTATAGATTATTGCAGCCATATATCGTCTGGAGCCCCTTTTGTTTGTCTCGAAGTCCTTGATAAAATCCAGAAACGGATGTGCAATGTAATTGGCCGTGATCTGGCATCTCGTCTGCAGTCGCTCTCTCACAGACTTGCCGTCGCCCCCCTCTGTCTTTTTTTTACAAATACTTTCACGGTAATTGCTCCGATGAGTTGCTTTCGCTGGTTCCCAGACTTCATGAATTTAAGCGTTCAACTATGCCGGCATCTCGTTCTCAACCTTTCACTGCCGAAACTGTTAAATGTAGCCAATAGCTTCATGCCTCGCACTTCTCGCCTATGGAAATTCCTCCCCTTTTCCTGTTTCCCTGATAGCTATAATCTCCAACTATTCAAATGTAATGTCAATCGACGTCGCCAGATGCCTTAATCTATCTCCTATCCTTCTCTTCATCCATTCCTCTATCAATCCTCTTTGCTCTCGCTCCAACTCTCTGTAACCCCTTGCGTGCTAGTGGCTTCCCGCCTTACTTGTGGTGAAACGTTTAAAAAAATGTACATATATATTAAGATATTACACGGGAAACATGTCAAAATTGCTACACAATTGCTATCGCCTTTTGATGCGTACTAATGTCTGGTGAGATGCATTAATATTTTGTACTTGATTTGATAAGTTTTCGGTGTAATATCCTAAGTGGAAAGATTATATTGAATGAATTGTTAGGCCTGCTGCTCGGAAATTTGATTGTCGTCCTAGACATGTTTTCATACCAAAACCTATCTTACATATTTATAAGTCTTCCATTCGTTTTTGCATTTAATCTTACTGTCACATGTTCTGGTGCGTCTACTATGTATTTAGAGATTCGTGATAAAAACACAAAGTAGAATCTGCAATGTTATCGGTCCTGATCTGGCATTTCGGCTTCAGTCAGTTTTTTTGCCGCTGTAATGCAGCTTTCGTATGGCTTTCTATAGCTACGTTTTATGCTAATTATTCTGATGGAGTTTCCTCTATGGTACCTAGACTTTAAGAATTTAAATGCAGTTCTAAATTGGGTGTACGGTCTCATAATTACACAGTTAAAATTGACTGATGGAAATCTAAGTTCTATGCTAACAGTTTACATTCCAGCACTTTTCGCCTGTGCAATTCTCTTCCAAAATCTTCCTTCCTAGGCAACTTTGACCCTCAAAAATATAAATGCAATGTTAATCACTGTCTATTATTCTTAATTCCTGGTCATTTATTGTCCTCTCTCTTTCCATTTGGAATTATTACCTTGCTTGGTACGAAATATATATTTTTCAACACGCTCTCATTTTTAAATATATATATATATATATATATATATATATATATATATATATAACTTCCTTCTCTCTTTTCTCTCTATGGGTTTTCTTCTCTATCCCTTCGATATCAATATATAATTTCCGTTAAGTTAACCGTTTAAATGTGTCAATATCTGCTAACTCACTCATGACTTCTTTCTCCCCCCTCACTTCCTCACTTCGTTAATTTACATATGTTTAATACGGCCCGTCAAAAATATGTAAATTTTCTTTTCATTTTTTGTTTGGAAGTAAAGTCTGATGATCCGCAGTCCTTTTTAAAAGGGCTGTGGTGAAATAATTTATTACATGGAACCTTAAAGTGGTCTGTTTTTATTTAAATTATTTGCTCTGGATTTATATTGAGGTCTCTGGATTTATCCTCCATAGGTTTACCCATACGGATTACCTAGTTTTTCATAAACCACATATATATATATATATATATATATATATATATATATATATATATAGAGAGAGAGAGAGAGAGAGAGAAAGAGAAATTTACACAAAACATATGGAAAATAAGGAAAAAGAACATCAGCCTACAACAATCAAACTTAAAACTGTAAAATCTGCCTGGAGAAAAAATAGCTTTCCAGACAGGCACAAATTACGAAATAAACGATCGGAACTCGTCTCAATACGAAAACAAATTTTTTATTATGTTACTTAAAAATCTAAAAGTGAAAAAAAACAAGAATAAACAAAAATAAACAAATAAAATAAAATCAACAAAAACAAGTAAATAAATTGAACCAAATAAATAAGTAACGAATAAACAAATTAACAAACCACGTACGCAGTGATAATGACAACAAACCGCAATAACAACCAGTAATAAAATAATCAATAACAAATTACAAAAAAAGTTATGTAACAACATTACAAATAGCCCCAAAACTACGAAAGTATAAAACAGACCCCAGAATAATTCTAAACATTTAACCATCACCACAATAACCGTTAGACTACTGAAAATGCATCATTGACCTATATATATATATATATATATATATATATATATATATATATATATATATATATATATATATATATACTAACTGTAAATATCATTTTATATTTCCCCCACGACTTCGAAGTCTCTTAGAATTGTTCTTCTTGAAGAGGTATGTTGGAATAAGTTTATTTACAATTTATGAATTGGAAATAAAATTATTCAAACAACAACCTCCTTGATGAATGGGCAATTTATATATATATATATATATATATATATATATATATATATATATATATATATATATATATATATATATATATATATATATATGCTGTTAGTGTGTGTTTGTGCATATATGTGTTCGTCTCTGAGAGAGACAGACAGATAGGTTGTGTATGTGTGTATTTTTATGAATGTATTTTTTATTTTCTTAATTAAAAGTTTTTTTTTTCTTTTTTTATACTGAATCCCCATATTTGAGTAAATGTTCTATTCATTTAATAAAAAGTAACTTTTTTTTTTATTTTCATCTACCGGCCTGAATATTCCAGAAATATTATTAGAAAAATATAAGCTCTGCAGCAGGATTCGTACCTGTGTTCCCCTCAAGGGGACTGTCATAGATCTGACGTGCTTTGACCTCTCAGCTAAAGAGTACCTGATGGCCAGTCAAAGCTCGAATAGGGCTTCTAAAACACATTTTTCCCGACTTTCAGAATATACAGGTGAGATCTATAACGTAAAAATAACACTTAAATACTAATATCTATATGTATCTGTATCTGTATATATATATATATATATATATATATATATATATATATATATATATATATATATATATATATATATATATAGTTGAGATGTGCTATATTTATGGGATAGAGTGCTCAATATCAGAGATAGAGTGTATATATATATATATATATATATATATATATATATATATATATATATATTTTGAAATAAAGAGAAACCATAATTTTTTTTTGGTTATAATGTGGATTTTTTTTAATATATATATATATATATATATATATATATATATATATATATATATATATATATATATATATATATATATATATATATTTTATTCTTCATATTATAAAACAAAACTCACATAAATCCAACCTATAACCAAAAACGTTTGCGGTTACCCTCTTTTTTTTTAAAATGCACACATTTTTCTCGTTTTGAATAAACATAAACTTTTCCAGATAGATAGATAGATAGATAGATAGATAGATAGATGTGTGTGTGTGAATATATTACCTTATTTCTGTTTGTATGTCGATATCACTTAATAAGGCTATATTATCATCTAAGCTTCCTTGTTTATCTTGCCTTTAGTGTCGTCGGCTTAGACATGTATCCCCCTTAATGATTTTTTTGCATCAAGTATTTTATGGCAAGAACTTGAAAAGAAAATGAATCGTTTAAGCCAATTAAATGCTTGCCTATATACCTAATGGCGGCCATTTTATTTTATTTTTCATCAAGTCTTGAGTTTTCATAAGAATAAAAAAGGATTGTCCTCATTACAAATCTAAGAAAAGCCCACCTGCAGTTCATCGGAGTTGAAATGGCCAGAGTGCTCGTTGGTAAAACTAGAGACGGGCATCTTGGGTTGAATTTAACTACAGGGGAAGAGACTCTCGAGGGTGGGGTTCGAATGCTGAAGACTGTCTTTATAAAGGGTAAAGGGATGCAGAAAATTGAAATATCGCAAAGAAGTGATGAAGAAGAACATTTAGAGAGAAAGAGAGAGAAAAAAGAAAGGGGCGATGAAAGATTATAGAAGCGGTTGTCGTTGTGAGAATGTCAACAAAGGCGGAGGGTGGCGTCGCGGGGTACACGTCTCTTACTACCAGCCCGTCGGCTTTCGACAAAAGGCGGAAAGAGTGAAAGCTTTAGACGGGTACCGAAAGGGTCAGGGTTTCGGTGGGGGAACAGAGAAGAAAGACTTGGATCTATAGTAATTATCAT